ACCAGCTGGGTGATGACAGTTAATTACTTAATCTCTCTGTTGGCTTCTCTGCTAAATAGGGACAGTGACAACTCCTGCCTTCTCCAGGGCTTGTGAAGATGAAAGATCACTCATATATGTAAAGCATTTAGAACATGTGTGGAAAGTGCCTGATAAAAGCCAGCCACTATTTTTACCCTGCCCAGAACAGCAATGCTCCCTGGCTCCAGACCCAGTAATGGTTATAATGCCGAAAAATAAGATACCACTTCAAGATATGTGGGGAAAGACTAGGAATAGCATTTAGGGAAGCAGGATTTTAATCTCAGGTCTGACCACTTTGGGCAAGTCATGGTACTCCTTTATTTTCACCTTTGTAATAAGAAGGGTTTAGATTAGATTGATTCCTCCCCAGCTAGACTCTAGGATATTTAGGGACTTGTGAAAGTGACACTCAGCTTCTCAAGCTACAGAATATTTCAGATCTAAAGGAAAGCACGTATATGAAGAGTAATAACCCTGATGACACTAACCAAATGCCAGGCTTCTCTATGTGTAGAGGGAATTATCTTAACTCCACATAAAAATACTGTTTACTTAATATTGACTTGCGATTTTGGTCAGCGTTACTTACATTTTGCAAAAATCAAAGTATCAAAAAAAAAAAAAAACCCTAGGTAAAACTAAATCACCTTTTTTACTTAAAAGTGCTATTTCCCAAACAGATCATTTTTTCCCAAAGCATCTGGCCCATGGGTGAGAAGATAATAAAAGAGTGAAAAACTGAGAGTCTCAATAGACTGCGTGAACACTGAAGTCCTTTCTGTCTCTAACGCTCGAGGGATTACTGAACATTTCTCTAAGGCAATTGACTATAACAATTTATTTCTCATTTAATTTTACTGCGTGGCCCCAAGGGAAAAATGTCTTCCAGGGGAAAAGAAATGTAAGATCCAAGTAAGGATTCTAAAGAGAAAAGCACGGGAAGAGAACATTTAAACAGCTGACAATATCAAAACAGAAGATAGAAATGAATTTGGGTGTTGAAAACAACAACAACAGCAGCAAAAGCCAAATGGGCTGAAGTAGAAATTGCAACAGTAGACCTTAGAAGTAATAATAGGCTCTTTGCTGCATTTGTAAGTAAATTTTGAGTTCCTATGAATGGGGTGGGAGCAGGGGTCATATGTGGTCAGGGTGTGGGAAATCAGGAACAAGTTTTCTGTGTTTACAGAAGCCAGCACTGGTGGTATTCAGGGCAGATGTGAATGTTCTTCTCAATCAGTTAACACTGGGATGCAAACTTGTCACAGCCCCTGGGAGCAGAGAAGCTGAGTAGGAACTGAGAGGCAAGCAGAATAAAGTGTTATAGCCTTCTCTTTTTTTTCTTTTTTTATTATACTTCATGTTCTAGGGTACATGTGCACAACGTGCAGGTTTGTTACATATGTATACATGTGCCATGTTGGTGTGCTGCACCCATTAACTTGTCATTTACATTAGGTATATCTCCTAATGCTATCCCTCCCCCAAGCCCCTCCCCGGAATAGGACCCAGTGTGTGATGCTCCCCTTCCTGTGTCCAAGTGTTCTCATTGTTCAATTCCCACCTATGAGTGAGAACATGCAGTGTTTGATTTTCTGTTCTTGCGACAGTTTGTTGAGAATGATGGTTTCCAGCTGCATCCATGTCTCTACAAAGGACATGAACTCATCCTTTTTTATGGCTGCATAGTATTCCATGGTGTATATGTGCCACATTTTCTTAATCCAGTCTGTCATTGATGGACATTTGGGTTGATTCCAAGTCTTTGCTAGTATGAATAGTGCCGCAATAAAAAGAAACTACCATCAGAGTGAACAGGCAACCTACAGAATGGGAGAAAATTTTGCAAACTACCCATCTGACAAAGGGCTAATATCCAGAACCTACAAAGAACTCAAACAAATTTACAAGAAAAAAACAAAAAAACCCATCAAAAAGTGTTATATCCTTCTGAGAATACAGGGTGCTAGTGGAGAGAGTATCAGTAATAATAATGCATGCAGAAAGTACTTTGAAAACAAAATACTAAACAAATATGACTTATGTCGGTTGGGCCTTATGATAAATCTATACATTACATATTATTATTATTATTATTATTATTATTAGAGACAGTGTCTCACTCTTTTGCCCAGACTGGAGTGCAATGGCACATTCATAGCTCACTGCAGCCTCTGACTCCCAGACTCAAGCAATCCTCCAGCCTCTGCCTCCTGAGGAGCGGGGCTGTAGATATGCACCACCACACCTGGCTAATTAAAAATAAATAAATTGTAGACACAGGGTCTCACTATGTTGCCCAAGCTGGGCTTGAACTCCTGGCCTCAAGTGTTCCTCTTGCCAGCCTCCCAAAGTTCCGGGTTTACAGATGTGAGCTATTACAACCACTCACCCAGAACAGCAGTGGTCCCTGGCCCCAGACCCAGCAATGGCTTCAATGCCCAAAATTAAGACACCATTTCTCATTCTCCAGACAACATCTTTGTATATTCAGTCTCTCAATTCTTAGGTATGAGCCTGTACAAAAGAAAGTTGATTCATGTAATTACCAACATACACTCTTAAAGCCCCTGAGAAGCACTGGGGGTGACTTCCATGCTGTGTCCAATAGATCAAAATGCATAGTGGAAATCATATATTCACCTATAAATGTACACACAGTGTAACAAAAGCATCAACTATCACTTTCAAAAAGTGATGATTTTATTGCTTTTTCTGTTTACTGGTTTGCTTTTATATTATGCTCAATAAATTATAGAAAAATGATTTGATAAATAAATCATTGGTAGATCAAGGTTTTCAAAACCCAGGAAACAGCAGAGAAAAAAGTTTTCCATGGGGCCTTTGATAAAGAATGCAAACAGATGCTTCTTGCTCTGAAATCCAAACACCTTCCCCACTGTAAATGTCCTTGCTGTTACTGGCAGCACCAGAGCTTGAGTAAAGGGGATTGTGCACCTGACTAGAGTGGCAAGGACCATCTTGAGTCTCTACAAATACAACATTAGCTTGAGTCCAGTCATCTCTGTTTGCCACTGTAAACCTTCCCTAGGAGCTCAGATGTAAGTGCAACATTCATTATTACAACGTGAGCAGACAGAAAATTAACCGGTGTACAAATAGCTAATTGTCAAGTGGCCATGAATCCCATTGTCTCTGACCATTAGCATAAGACACTAAATGGCTATTAAATGAAGGGAGTCAGATCTGATTGTTGGGTAATTTCAAGAAGTGGAAAAAGAATTCTATTCTTTCTGCTAATAGACACTCTCCCAATGGGAAGCACAATTCCAGTAGCCATAGGGTTCCGAGGTTACGTAAACGCTGGTGTAGGCCAACTGTCCTGTGGCTTAAGATTTTCTGAGAGGAATGTGCCTAGGAAATTGGTATCCTCCTCCCTCACTCCTGCAGCCTCCATCTGGTAAAATCCATTCATGCCCCCAAGCTCCAGCTCAAATGCCAGCTCTTCAGGAACACCTTCCCTGACCAGAGCCCCTTGGCATGATCCACTTGCTTTTTATCTTCATGGTTCTTTGTGCAAGATGTTAATAAACACGTACGCTGTGATATTACAGCTACTCTTTATACAATGTCAATCTCCGATACTACATTATGAATTTCTTTAAGGCAACACTGCGTCTCGTTTATCTGTTTCCTCAGTGCTTGCAGATGATGCTTGGCAAGTCACAGTACACCTCCTATCTACCATTTCATTTAATGTTCACCATAGTCCAGTGAGGAAAGTAAAATATAATGATTATGACCTGCCTGATTGAGAAAACCGGGGCTCCAAGAGATCATTTATTTGCCCACGGTCCTACAGCTAAGGGCTAAAAAAAACTAGACTCAGTTCCGGCTCTTAGCAGCTTGCAAAGTTTTCATGACATCTTTTGCTTCCAATAAGCTCTAAAGGCTGCTTCACCAAGGCAGTAAAGACAGATCCACAGTGTTCCAGATTAGTCTGTGTATGAACAGCTCATTTTGTGACACCAAGAGGCATGCTTAGAATTTGTTAAAAACACCAGCCCTGATGCTCACAACCTTTGCTCATAGGCAGTTCTCTTGCTCCTTCTTTTTTTCCCCTGTGAAAAACACACAAAAATTTCCCCTGTGAAGATTTTGTAAAGTTTCTTCAACGATCATATATTAATTTTTAATGAGAAAAGAAAAGCGTCATCTACATGGCAGCAGAAAGAAAACAAGATCACAAGCCCACGGATGGTGTGGGGTATAAATTCTACGCCTGCAGCCTCCTCTTAACTCAAAGGGCGAGGAATTTCTGTGTTTAATCCGCAGTGTTTATCAGGAGGAGCCTCTGCAGCTGGTGGATACGAATTTTCTACTCATTAGGAAAAGTAACCCCTACCGGGAGGAAGGAATGTTTATTTCATCAGCCTTTGCCTTGGCCTGGCTGAAATAAGCCCTTTGCTCTGACTTGACACCCTCAAAGCGACTTTATAATTGTCATTTGTCTTCCCAAGCAAATGTTCCTTCAGAGAAAGGGATCAAGAAGCCTGGGTATTTTTATTTGCAAGATATGCACACTCTTCATTATAAATTAACAAACAAGGCATTCTGTTTTACACACCAGAGGAAAAATGAAGTACGTAAAAAGTGAAGTATCTAATATTTCTGACAGATTTGCCCCTGAGGTCTGTCTTCTTAATACTTCATTGTGTTGTGGTCCTGCCTCCCTCACCCAGCCTTGCTTTTTGCCCCGCAACCTCTGTGTATTCTCCGTGTTTATGGTCCCAGTGCCATGTCATCAGAAACTCCTCCAACACTATATGGGCACATTCTGGCAGAAAAAAAAAAAAACTCTATATATATTATAGTATCTGTAATATTTAATGAGAACTATTTCTACTCACTCAGCTTTTCTACGAATCTGGACTAGACAACAATTCCTACACCTGCAAAGTTCTCAGTACACAGAACAAATCATCTGAGGATATCACATGGCATCAGATACTCACATTTTCTGACCGGAGCCTCTTGGCAGGACACCCTCCATCCCTGGGGTGAAGCATGTAATACAGTCGGACTTTGCTTGCATGTTTTCGACTCTGAGAAGGAAAAGCAGAAGCAGATACTGTAAAAGAGAAGCCATTTCAAATCCTTTGAAACCTAGCCAGTGCCCGCAAATGCAAAAAGAAATGTGTTTTCAGTAGAAGACACTTCTGCATACTCCTGTGAGGGATGTAGGATGTAGTTTCAGATAGGTTAAGTGGCTTGCCCCAAGTTCTAAAGCCAATGTAATTTCAAGATGAGAAAACACAGTAATGAAGAAGGTGAGGCATTGAAATCATTTAGCCAAGGGTGGATAATATACTTACTATATTTAATTTTCCTCAAAAATAAAAACAAATAAGCAAAGGAAATAACATAAGGATCAATTGTGATGAGAAGAGGCACAGTGATCTCTCTCACGACTGCTGCCCTACCCTCAGGGTCTGGGGACAATGCCTCCCTGGGAGCCTGGTACACTTCACCCCCAATAGAAGCCTTTTCTCACGGCTCTCCCACACACAGGCTTCATTAATAAGCTATCAAAAGGGATGGGATTCTCTAAGGTCAGATATCATAAGCAAACTAAAGACAATTGTATGTCAGTCTGCGGACTGACCATAGCCTAAGTTACCTGCCAGCAGATGATGCAGTTGAGCAAATAGAGACCCGTGTTCTTCGGAATTAGCAGGATTGTTGATTTCTGGCTATACTGACTGGTCCATGCCCAGCATGGAGAAACTGATGCTTTCTTTGTTCCCTATTTCCTCTACTTTGCTCAACTGAGAGTTTCATCCCGGATTCCCATCACGTTTAAAGAATACAGCAGTTCTAATTTCATGTTTCTACCCGAGGCAGAATGGAAATGTGAAAAGAACACGAAGAGTCATCAGACATTCAGAATCTGGGTTCCAGCTCTACCACTTCCTAGCTGTGTGATATTAGGCCAGTCTCTTACTGGAATGTGTTTATATCAAAATGAGTCTCATTTTCTCCATGTACAAAATGAATACCACAATATTTGCTGGAGTGTCATAAGAATCAAATGAGACTTTGCTTATGAAAAATTGCAATCTGCATAATATTAAACATTTCTCGCTGTTGACTGCATCACCTCTCGAATCTATTGTTCCCTAATTCCAAAACCCCTTCCTTTTCCTTTACTCAGAGGTTACTTCCTTCTTTTCCAGGTTTTTGTTCCACTATGACTTTATTTACAGTTGCATCCTAGCCCATCTCCTGGATGTTGGTTTACTTTTGTGAATCAGCCATGAAGGCAAAGTGATGTTCAGAGAACACACAGCAGGTTGCATCTTGTTTACAGGATAAATTGTAAATCCTTCCTGTCCATTTTCTTCATTCATCACTTTCTTAATTCCTGTATTCTGCCTGGAGCAAGAAGACCATGCTTTTAGACAATTCCTGAACACTTTTAAGGCCTTTAAATGAGTTTAAAAGTGACAATGAAACATGAAAAATTTTTACAGATGTGTAAAAGTACTGAAATGTGACTTGGAAATATATTGTCAACACTTACAGCACCATTTTTAGGTTACATAGTAGGTTTTAATCAAAGGTCATCTGGAGGTTTTTTCTCTTTTTTTTTTGTCTAGAAGATTTCTTAAGAGAAACAGACATGTAGATGTATGTCAGATGAGTCAACATTATTATGCGGCTTCTACATGTTTTTGAAAATGACCGTGCAGGCTTATATTTTTCTCTTTGCAAATAAATTTGCAGCTTACTAACATCTGTACATATTTTTTGCCATTTTGCTGAGGTTATTTTAGAGGTAAGGAAGGAGTCATCGTTATATTGGGACTACTACTGCAGTCAAAAGAATAAAAAGGAACATTTAAACTGCAAGATGCTGACTGTGGACAGAGCCTGAGCTGGTGAAAAAGCACACAGATGATAATGGGTGGAAAAACAAGTGGGAACAATGTGAGCTCAAATGTGGCTAAAGTGGATTTTCAATTTTGCATTTGTTACCATAGAAGAGCTTCTTTTCACATTCCCTGCATTATCCATCTCCTAAAGCTCTGGATTTCCAGAGAATGAAATTATGGCAAAACTGGAAATCTCATCAGCGGCCTGGTTTGTGGCTGTTTTGTCTTTTTTCTTTTTCCCCCCCTCTTAATCTAAAGTATTCCATTTCTTTTAAAAAGACCTTCTAGTACAGGCAGAGTTCACTGAGTTGTTTAATTACAGTTAGACAAACTAGTTGAACCATTAGGAAAATAAATGCCAAGCTCTGATATGAAGCTGCTAGTGATGTGAGATGTTGGGATTTGAAGCTTATTGGTGATTTTGATAAGTACAGGCCTGTTTTCCTCCCTCGGCCCCCTCCCCGCCACCTCCAGTTTTGGCGGGAGAAGGAATGGCTACACCGCAAGCAGCACCCTTGCCTATGGTTTACGGTGAGGGAAATCAGAGCTTTGGCAAATACCACCTGATTCTGGAACGATGGCGAAGGCATCCTCGTTCATCATTTAGCAGCATTCCTTTTGCCTGGGCACCTTTTTTCCCCCTCTTTGCTTTCCCCAGGGTGCCTGGACCAGATCCAATGCCTTCCCTGCCCACAACTTCCAGCAGGAAGTGAAAATCTGCAGACTTCTCAGGGGGAGGAGTGTGGAGTCACATTCCCAATTAGCCTGACTCAAATCCAAAGCTGCTTCCAAATTACGTTGGTTGACAAAGGGAAAGAGGTTCCCTGCAGATCCTTCCTGGGGTTTCTACAGCTTGTCCTGCCTCCGACCTAGGCCTGTAGCACCTGAGGATGGAGACCTGCCAGGAAGCCCCTTCCTTTCTTCCTCCCTCTCTCCCTCCCTCCCTCCCTTTCTTCCTCCCTTTCTTTCTCTCTCTCCCTCTCTTTTTTTTTTTTTTTTTTGTGACAGAGTCTCGTTCTGCTCACTCTGTCACCCAGGCTGGAGTGCAATGGCACAATCTCAGCTTACTGCAACCTCCACCTCCCAGGTTCAAGAGATTCCTCTGCCTCAGCCTCCCTGGTAGCTGGGATTATAGGAGTGTGCCACCATGCCTGGGTAGTTTTTCTATTTTTAGTAGAGATGAGGTTTCACTATGTTGGCCAGGCTGGTCTGTAACTCCTGGCCTCAGGTGAGCTGTCCACCTCAGCCACCCTTTCCTTTCTTCCCAGCTTTCTCACCTCTCTCTCTAGATGAGACTCTCTGAGACACTTACAGTGTCTTCCTCTAACTGACTCCTTTCTACCCTGAACCTACTGGAAATTCTTTGAGATTTGGCAGAGTGATCTCACTCCTTTCAATTTATTCTAAAAAACAAACAAATGAACAAAAACTTTCCTAAAACAAGAAAGTTAAAATTAATTGAAACAAAGATGTCCACTGCAGCATTACCTAAATAGGAACAAAAAATTAGGGAGACAACTGCAGATTTAACAACAGAAGGCTGGATAAAGCAGCCGTGGCATGCCCTATGTTAAACGGAGAATTGGGGGTGGGGGAACCTTTACATATATATACACACACACACACATACACTCATATATATATATATATAAAGGTTTTTAAATGCATGTTATATATATACATATATATGTACATACATATATAATGAATATTGAAAGAAAAATGCTAAACTCAAAACTGCACAGATACTATGATTACAATTACATAAAAGTGCGTAAGTAGATAACACAGGTAGAAAAGAAAAAGAAAAAAAACATGATTTATTAGGATACACGGAGTATGATTGGCTTTCATTTTTTATTTTTATAACAAATTTGCCAATAACATAAATATAATAATAATAATTTTGCAATGCTTAAGCCATTTTGATTTTGATTTGTGTACACTTTTTACCCACAATTATTGTAATTAGTAAAAAGCATCACTGATCAGAAATGTTATTAACATATACTGCTATAATTGACCACGTTTTCATCTACCCTTGTTAATGTCTTATTAATATTCAAAATGCATTTTTGTTTCATTGGAGGACTTGGTATTAGATGAGCCTTCTTAACCCAAGAGCAATACATGCTACTTCCAATTTTAAAACTTGTTTTTAGTACATACAAATGCCAGGGTACGTAAGTGTCACTTTCACTTTCTGTGTGTAAATAGAGACTAGAGGATGGGGAGGCCTAAGCTGTACACACAACTACACTGCGAAGGGTAGAGGAAAAGACACATCTGAAACTGGCTCTTACATCATCCAAATAAACACAAGCAACAACACATCCTTATTACTTTTTCCAAGGTTTATTAGTACCAAAATTTCCACTGCTCTTAAGAGTCTGAAAAGACAGGAAAACTGCCAAGTGAAAAGAACTTTAAGGAGAAAAAAATATCCACATGTTAAATGTATATATTACAGAGTTTCAAGGGGGAAAAAAGAACCATTACATTAAGGGAAAAGACATGAAAAAGAAATAACAATCTCTTTCAATTGCACTGAGAGTCAATCCCAGGCTCTTTTTTGCATTAATATTTGCATTTTGAGCAAAAGTCATTGCTTTCATTCAAAACACATCAACTTTAAGCTTCCTAGATCGACCAGAAATTACCAACTCTTCCATTTTAATTAAAGCCTTTGCCCCCGATCCTAGGCATTGTGCGGGGACAGACCTATCTGAAGATTAGTTTCTTTTGCTGAAACAATCTCTTGGCACTCAAGGAAATAGTCTAAAATGGAAATTCAGGCCAGTGTTCTCTTTGGGGGAATAAAGAACAAGACAAACCTCTATTTCAGATGTATTGCTGTGAAAGAAGGAGGCGAAACACATAGAAATAGAATGGCTTTTTGCCTCACCTAAATAACCATCTTCCATTATCACGCATGCCTCAAAAAAATTCACAACTCAAATTTGCTTCCAGCAGGGCTACTGATTTCTGGTATCATAAAATGTGGCAATAACAAAGCAACCTTATATTTGCATAATGCTTCAGGCAGTCTTTAAAGTCCTTCCAGGATCATCATCTCATTTCATCCCGGAATCACAGTTGTGAAGCTGGCAGGAGAGGTGCTATCTCAAATAAGCTTAAAGATCCATTTCTGATTTCCTAGATAAGTCTTC